CTCTCTCTCTCTCTCTCTCTCTCTCTCTTATGTTTTCCATTAATTTACAATGCGATCGAAGCGAACAAATTGGTAGATATGTTATTAATGGGTTAATATATCCTAAGCAGAATTGTAAAAGCTCGTAACTTGTTCTCGTAAAACTTATAAGAACTTATGACCGATACTGTATACCGTAATAAGATGTACGATCATTCGTAAATATCTACTTTATATTTCTCGTAAATCGTTCGGATAGCAAGAAGCTGTCTGTAAAGAGATTGCATAAAGTTATAAGCACTTGTTAAGTTCTTACAAGTCTTAAAAGAACATTTTACGAGCCTTATGATTCTAGAATTGACTCGTAAGTTTAGCGTTTCACACGCGCGTGAAGAAATTGATTTTTGTCAGACATTTATACATATCTACTCAAAATTATTAATATTAATAATTTAATTTCGGTAATGCATTAAATATTAATTTCGGTAATGCATACTAAAAGCTGCTATACATAAAATTAACAAAATTAAATGTAAAAGCATATAAATATATTAAATGATTAAATATCCAATAATATGATATAATTGTTACATTTAACAGAATATACATATATGTGTATTATTTCATTATTAACAAAGTTGATTATATTATTCCATATCTGAGATATTTATATAAAGCAGCCTTCCCAGGTAGCTGACATCATGTTGACGTTTACTGTTCATGTAATGTCACCTTATTGCTTGGGTTTAATGGGCACTAATCCAGTGAAATGTGAGTGACCGAAATCACTATCAATTTAATTTAAACTCAGCATCGCATTGGTCTGCCGATTTTGAAACGCGTACTCGTTTACGCGTAAAACTTTTAGAGAAATGTTTCTAAAAAGTGAAATCTCACTCTTAAAGATTTTGAAATTTGAGATACTCCTTTTCATAATTGGTTCAATTTTTTCTCTTTAGAGTGAGATCCTACTTCATAGAATGACAGCTGCTTTTTAATCCCGCGCGATCAAGTGTAGAAATCAGGAGAGTCCGACCGAAATTTCGGTTTCGGTTTCAGTTTCGGTCAGTTTCGATCAAAAATTAGAGTTTCGGTTTCGGTCGAAATTGAGAGAAAATTTCGATGAGTAAACCGAAACTGTGCAAATTGCAACGCGCCGGTGAGGGTTTAAAAAGCAACTGTTCGATTTTAATTATTAACTCGTTGATTAAGCTTAAGACAACTTGAATACAAACTTTGATGTGATCCTAATAATAACTGTGATTTGATTTCTTTAAAACTTGAGGATGCAATATTATTATATTATTATAGTCAGATATTTGAAAATTTTGTTTTTTTAAGAGTACACTTTGTCATGATTTCTGAAAATTATACGATCTCTGTAAAATTAATTCAAAAGTGTCGATTTCTATTCCGGTCGAAAAAAATGTGACTCCGTTAGCTTCTTTCTCTCTTTTTTTTTTTTAGTAAGACTTATCTAAGTTTCGGTTTTGTTTTCGGCCGAAATTGAATGACAATCGAATATTCGTTTTCGGTTTCAGCCGGAGGTCAAATGTGGTTTCGGTCGGACTCTTGAAGTCAGCTTCGTCCCTTCTTTCCTTTTTTTTTGCCAAGTCACAGAGTTGCGTCAATGATGATGCGTAATAGAAAATCGCCAGAGAGACCGCAATCTTTTTTTTTTCTTCATCGACCTCCGCAACGTGGGCTCCCATTCTTTCGAAATGGTACGATCGCGTGCGCGAGGTCGCGAAGAAGAGAGCGTAGGTAGAGTACTCGCTCCCGTTTCTGCACAATCTCCTTCATATATCGCTTTTCAATATCGGGATACTTCCGCGATACACCGTCGAAACTTGGTTGAACTTTGGTACGATCGAGCTCGTGCCGTTGAATTACGGCTGGCTTGCACACTAATTGGACGAATCAAGGAACACACGAAGGACACGCCTTCCATTTAGTAACACAAGTCAACACGAGTATTGTTCTGTGTTTGTTACTCATAGAATGCAAAAAAAAAATAGAACGACATTTGTGTCGACTTGTGTCATTAAATCGAAGACATCCCAAGTCAAGAGAAAGTAAAAATGATTCTATTTTGACGACATAAAAATCAAACTGATGATTTTGGTTTACGCAAATTTGATTGTTTATTGACGTTAAGAATTAAAATAATTTTGAATTTTTGTTAATTAACTTTTGTTGGAAATAAAAACTATCCGCCAAAATGTTAGAAAAGCAAAAATATCAGATAATTTTGAACAAATATATGTCACAATATGTTTTTCTTTATATAGAAACAAATCTGCATCCAAGGAATATTATATCATCAACCGGAGGCTGTATGAAGGACGAAGCCTCTTTTGACGCGATCGATAAGATCTGGAGAACGTTGAAATCTTTGGGATTAATCGCGGAGAGAACCGTACGTGCATGTCCGTTCATCCTTCTAATTATCTCTCGACGCCGCGTCTCTCGGCTATAAACCGCGTGCATGGAATTCGATACACTTCGAGATTCACGTACGTGAATCCTATCCTATGTAGTTCCGACAGAGATTTCTCGCGAAGATGAATCTCATCTCTGGCATAACACGAGCAGCAAGGTAAATTAAATGCACGAATTGCGTGTCAAGGGATAGGATCATCTACTCAAATAATATCAGTAACTGCGTGTATACGAGATCTTCCTTGAAGAATGATGCTCCAGATAGAAATTATATAATTATATCAGAAGGATGTTATCTAAAAATGACAGCCATGATGATATCCTGATATTATTCTGCAGTATTTTACATCGAGAGATAATTTACTGAAGTATCTAAAAATTTAGATACAGATCTGAAAATAATTTTATTGAACCAAAATAATTATGTTGGAAATTTAAGCACGATGAGCAATGTTGCAAAAAGCTTTCGAGCAACCAGCTTCAGCATTCTACATGTGTAATTATTCTGATTTGACAAAATTATTTTTAGATCTGCATTTAGCTAAATTTTTACATATTTTCAGAGCAAGAGCATTCTTTCCCCGTAGAATTCCATCTTAATAAAATTTCCTCTTTTTTTCCACTATTTCTTTTTTTTGAGCGTCCTATACAAAAGGAACAATTTTGTTGAAATATCTAAAAATTTAGATATAGATCTGAAAATAATTTTATTGGACCATCAAAATAATTATGTAGGAAACTCAAGCACGATGAGCAACGTTGCAAAAAGTTTTGACATTCTAGCAATTATCAGCATCCTACATGTGTACCTAATTATTTTGATAACCTAATAAAATTGTTTTCAGATCTGTATCTAGCTAAATTTTTTAATACTTCAGCAAAAAGTCTTCCGTTCTAAATCTATAAAGTGTTTTGATACGGAGTCGTTATATCCTATTATCAAGCTCGTAGCTCACGATCGCTCGCTATTTTTTGTCTCGATCTCTGCATCCGCGCAGCTTGCTGAATACATCTGTTTAAGCTCGAGAATTAGAACACACGAATTATCACGTTTCCTCTTATTTCCTCTTTGTGTGCACCGCTCTCACGTAACGTCGAAGCGTAATGATTTTGCAGCTACGATTTCTCAATATGGATCCGAAGTTCGGCCGCTTCATCTCCCTGGGAATCTAGACAAGCACGTACGCTATCTTTCTCTCCATTACGAGGCGAGCGGGAATTCTGCAGGATGCCTATTGGGATACTATCATCGCTTCGTCTACGACGAAGCGTGAGTACGGTGACCCAGAGGTGGATCGTTAACCGGCGAGTTACGTGTCGATCGGTAATACCTTGACGATTTCAAATGCTTCGGTTTATGCGCGCAGTTCTATTTTATGGAACTATTTACGGCGCAGAATCGTGTTAGGATCGCGCAATTATATCATATGCGTAATATTAATTCTCGTGCGATCGCGAGCTTCGAACCGAACGTTCTCGCAAATTAGTTCTTTTACAACTAGTCTCTTACGTAACTATCGAATCTTCGGCTAACCGGATCTGATTCTCGGTCATACATAATTATCCGAATTATTATGATCTTCTGATCGGTCTAAACAAAATGGCGCGCGATTTCTTGACGAGATAATAGCTCTCATTAATAACTGTTGCTGTAACTGGCGAGAAAGATAAACTTTCCGTCACACGTGGGCACGTTTAGAACCCACGTTCCTTGCAGGAGATCATCCCGGGTTGTCCGCAGGCACTCGGTACTTTATAGCAGCACCCAGTTCCCGACTTAGCGCACACATGAATACTTCGCGCGATCTTTGTATCAGTCGATGCGTTCCGGAGATGCTGTCAACGCATCAATTGCGCAACGAGCCCGTCGCAATGGCGACGGTGATGACGACCCCGCGGGTATAATTCCCGCATTGAAAGAGCCGATATAATTACAAGGGAGAAACGCGCGGCGAGTGCATACCAGCCGCGCGTCATCGGCTCCAGCCGCTTTTCCATGCTTTCCCACCGCCTTCCTCCTTAGGATGTGCATCGAGAAATCAAATACTTTCATTTAATTCATTTAATAATAAGAAATTTTGAGGGATTTAATGATCACGTAACATATACTTTACGTACAAAATATTAAGTTGTTTTAAATAGCGCTCTTTAATCTACACGATATATCGTTTAGATACCTAGATTGTTTTACTTTTACAGCTCATTGCCTCAACCCTATCGCTTCGCTTTCATGCCAATCCCATTGGACGACCTTCAGATCCATTCGGAGATGCCTGTCGATCCGTATCAACCTCGCGTTACGCAATCACCCCTCATCTTAGCTCGAGATTCATCTCGACGGCCTCCTCCGCCACTGCCACCCCCTCCGATGGCCCTCCCACCGTGCGTGTCTTCATCCAGCACTCTGTCTCTTCTTCTCTCTTCTTCTCCTCTCGGCGTCTCTAGTCAACGAGGATTCGTTGGCGAATCTTCGAGGAACGCATCACCGGATTATATCCAGTCGTGGTGCCATCCCCGATTGCTTGTTGGAGGGTGGGAGGAAGACGATCCTCGCGCGGAACCAGTATATAAGCATGCTGGATCCGATCTGGATACGTGCAGATCAATTATCATTGTCGGTTTGGCGATACACGATTTGAACAGTGTGATTCAATAATACTTATTATCGATCGACGACGCGCAACCAACGAGATGAGATCGGTACGAGTCGCGCAATGGAAATCTCTTTAATTCGATTGTCGAAATTTGGAATGAGTCTTGGATCTCCTAGTCGACCTAGTTAATTGCGACAGTTAATTTAAAATAGAATCTATTAATTGCGCACGAAATTTTATGGACGGTTCTCCAACCAGCGGTACTGCATGATTTCCATTTACCGTGCAGAATGTCGTGTGTTTGAAAAAAAAGTCTATAAATATCTGTTATAAATTTTTGTTCGCGATTATTTATTTTGTACCGTTTTATTTCTTTATATTGTACAATTTTTATCCCTTTCGGCTTATTTCAACAGCTCTCCATAGCATTGCTGGCCATCATTGGTACATGCTATGCCGCAAGATTAGATACAACTTATCTTCCGCCCGGTAGTGCCGGAAGTGCAGGTGGAGCAGGATTGATTCATCCTCCATCAGGACACGGTGGACCTATTAAACTTAGTAGCCCGGGTGGTTCAGGTGGTCCTGGTGGTCCAAGTAGTTTTGGTGGCCCAAGTGGTTTTCGTGGTCCAAGTGGTTTTGGTGGTTCTAGTGGTCCTAGTGGTCATGGTGGGACAGGCGGATTTGGTCTTGGGAGTGGTGGCGACGCTTACGCAGGTGGTAAGTTTAAACAAAAATATAATTACTGAACAAGAGAGGAAATATTTAATTATTTTGTCTTATGTGCTATTCTCTCCATAGTCATTTATTTATTTACTTGTATCTATCTGAATCTTCCATTACGATATATTATTACATGAAGTTTAAGATCTTAACTAGATCTTTTTTTTTTTAGAAATATTGCATTACGATTTTCCTTGAAAATAGTTAATTTTTTTAAATGCAGCTTAGATGTGTGATTTTTAATATTTTACATTTCATACATTAGGCGGCGGACTAGGTGGTGGTGGTCATGGTGGTCAACAGATACCCATTATTTCTTATACTAATGAGAACGCCGGTGACGGAAACTATCAATATAGTTATGAAACTGGAAATGGTATTACCGTGCAAGAGACAGGTCATCGGCAAGGTACGAGATTGCATTTCCGTATCCGATTAAATTATTAATTGTTTCATTACTGAAGTAGCTGTATGTTAGTCTTGAACGAGCTAAACAATGCTTGTTTCTGAAATCATGGAAGTGTCGTGTCGCAACGCGGTGTAGTCGGTGACAATGAGGATATTGCGTCAAAACAAGTGCGTGCGGTGTTGCAGGAGAATCCGAATCGGTGAGCGGATCCTTTTCTTATACTGGTTCCGATGGTGTGCAATATTCAATCACGTATACGGCGGACGAATATGGTTTTCACCCTCAAGGCGCTCACTTGCCGACACCACCTCCGATTCCACCGGAAATTCAACGAGGTGTTGAATTAGCGCTCGCCGCCGAAGCTAGGGGAGAGAATCAGGATGGTGGTGGTGGAGGATATTCGCACGGAGGCAGTGGATATCCCAGCGGAGGTATGTCGCAGGATTTCAATTAAATATATAAACAAACTTTTATAATTATACATATTAATATCTTAAGAATGACCTACTTATTGTCAAATTATATCTCTTTATATTAGGAGGTGGCCATAGCGGCCATGGAAGCGGTGTCTATCAGGGACCAAGCTCGTACCAGACAAGTTCAAGCGGTGGCTACCAATATTAGACAACAGATTGAGGATTGAGGATCATTTACGTGCATACCGCACACAGGCATGCATACCATTTTCCGTTTATCTTCAACATTTCATGTACATAACGATATATCATTCATATAATTTTTTTATTTATATAAAGTGATATGACTTATTTATGCCCACTCTCTAATTTTTCTTTTGTTGAAGTTGCTTTTGTGTAGCAGCAATCCCGATACTAAAGCACCTTATACATATACATGACACTGTGCAATTGAGAACTAAACAACTGCGATATATATTGTGCATTATTCTTTATATGCGCTTATTACATGCATATATATATATATGTATATAAAACAATCATACATTTTGAGATGTATATTATAAATGAATAAATTAAATAAATAAACGGTGTATTAACACTGTGAAATATATTGTGTACGTAAATCATTTTACATGTATATATAATAAAATATTAATAAATTAATGGTGTAATCTAAATTTTTTATCTATAAAAAAATTCTATTTACATAAAAATATGTAACATTGTAATAATTATTACACTAATTTAAAGATAATTTGTAGTAACGATTAAATTCAATGTGACATTAAATTAATATTAAATTATTTTTTAATTTAAATTAAATATATTAACATTATTACTAATATTAATAAATGTGATATTAAATTAAATACAATGTGTACTAATATAGGTATTACAATTTTGTTAAATAAGATTATAATATAGTCAAACTTAACAACATATACAATTTGGAAAATTAATTTTAAATCAATTTCTGTCTATTTAATATATTTTAAGTATATTTCTACGTATGTAAGGTAATATATTATATAAGATATTCATTTTATACTGTTTCTGGATGACTAGTAGCACGAGTTGGAGATTTATTAGACTCAATCATTTCAGCTCCTCTTGCAAACTGAATAAAAAGTTGTTCCAAAGTTGCAGATAGAACAGCGTAATCCTCGATGCAATTATATCTTTGCTTCAGATTCTTCATTGTATCATACATTTTTTCCCACGTTGTATTACAATCAGTTACATGATAGGCAAGAAAACCCTGCAAAAATAAATAGAAATTAATAGTAAGATAAAAGAATAAAAAAATTAAAGCAATCAATTGTTGTCTCTGAAGCGAAGCACTATCATTACCAAATTTTCATCTCTAATGTCGCATGTTAAAGTAAATTCAATAATTTTCTTTATATTGTTAACATCTTCGTCCATTCGGCTTGGATTCAATTGTATATGAATATCGTAACCCGCTCCAAATCGCTGCTTCAATTCTTGACTTGCACCAATACAAACTAATTCACCCTTCACCATAATGACTAGTCGATTACAAAGTGCTTCACACTCTTCCATGCTGTTGAGCAATATAATTTTAATATTCCGTTCAACAAAATGAATTATATTAAAATTTAAATTCAAATATTTTATTCCAAATTTTTGTATTCTAAAAGATACCTGTGAGACGTAAGTATAATAGCCTGTCCTGCTGCCTGACACGACTGTAAAGTATTCCAAAGCGATCTTCTAGCTGCAGGATCGACGCCAGTTGTAGGCTCATCCAAAAGAACAAGAGTAGGATTACCAACGAGAGCCATTGCGATGTTTAAGCGTCTCTTGTTACCACCGCTATAAGTACCACTTGGCTGCTTCATACAAGCAGTTAAATCTGAAATAACATTCATATTTACCACACACGCTATTTTTACATGTGCTCTTTTTAAAATTTTGCATTTATTATCGCAGTTCACTTACTCAGTCTATTAATCCATTTATTAACTTCCAATTCTACGTTGGCCTTTGGTATACCGCGAAGACGAGCAAATAGTCGTAAATGGTCAAAAGCGTTTAAGGAAGATATTAAAGCATCAGTTTGTGGACAGTATCCCATTTCAGAAAGATACTACAAAAAATAATCCTCTAATATTATAAACAATATAATATTAAAGACATTAAATTACTGTATAAGTTGTTACCTCTGTCCTCTGTGCATGGATTTCTGCTTGTTTTAAGTACATTATGCCACTATTAGACATTTCTTCTCCAGTTAGCATCCTAAAAGTTGTACTCTTTCCGGCGCCATTTACACCGAGCAATCCGAAACATTCCCGTGGTTTCACTCGAAAACTGATTTCTTTCACGGCCATTAACTTTCCATAGTATTTGCTTAATTCATACACCAAGAAGAGACTGTTATCATTACTTATCGGACTTTGAAATGGTTCTAAATTAGTAGTCTCTGTAGCACTTGATTTTAATTCTTCTTTCGTATTTACACCTGTACATAAACATATCATATACATATTTTATATAAATTATAACATTCATAAATTAAGTTATCTATGAATTTATAACTTTTATATCTCATTTCTTAGAAGATACTAAAAATTATCTTACCTTGGTTATTGATTTTATTAATTTCTACCGCTACAGCAAGTTTTTCTTTTTTCACTTGATCATCCATTGTATCTTGCTCTTTTCTCAGTTTTGTACCAACCATCTTTGTCAATAATTTCAACAATAACTTTTCTTCCAAGATGATTAATAGAGCAAAATACAAAATTGGCGTTACAGCTAGATATACTATACTTTCTTCAAAACTTATATCATCTTCAAAGTTTTTGAAGTAAGGTAGTTGATTTTTGCACACCCCATCTCTGCAATCCAAACCTAAAAAAAATTATAATAAATCAGAAATTTTATCATTAATAGTAACATATTTTTGCTCAAATCATTAAGTGAATATTATACAATCTTACCACAACAAGGATCTTTTGCAAGACAAGCTACACTGTGAAGTATGTCTGGTAGACGACGGCACCTTGCATTCTGTACTGCTATGTTGAAAAAAGATAGTTGACCATGGAACAAACTTACGTAAGGAATCAGACGGAAGATTCTCTTTTGTAGAATGTGTAGCACACTAAGCCAATCAAAATTGCTTAGTACTTGATGTAGAACATATTGTATTATAACTGAAATAAATTTTTGAGTTACTTCTTTTTATATATAGTAATGTATTTGCATTTTTAATAGAACAATTAGTTTCACACTTAATATATCCGTAAATTTTTAATGTTTAAAAATATATACTACAGCAAGCTTACCAAGGCCAATAGGTGCAACACCCAAAATGGTTATTATAGTACTCCTCGATTTATTCATAAAACTGCATAAATATATAAGAAATAAAACATTAATACCAAATAATTCCAGAGTCAATATCAAGTACACTGTAAAAGAAAATAAATAAATATATAAAGAGATAAAATATGTAATATACTAATTAATATTAGACATAATTTAGAATCAGAACTTACGTATCTCTACTCTATAATATAGACGAATATCAAGAATAACATCCATGATGTAGAGCGCTAAAGTAATTAGCAATACACTTATTGTAAATATCAGAAAATCAAAAGCGAACATTGTACTCCAGTACGACAGAGAAGTGACACCGGTCATACGCTGAAGTTGCTTAACTTTCGTCGCTGTTTCTTGCAAAGGATGCATTACGAAAAGTGATATAGTGGGAAAGAAAAATATACAGAATAGCAAAACACGCGACATCGAGTCTGTTTCGGGCAATATTTGAGTTGAAAATATCGTATTCGGTAATTGTTGTCTAGACGCAGTAATCGAATATTCATCGCCAGCGAAAGCTTTAATGAACGAATTACTTAAAAGATTCACTGTTAACGGCACGCTGTGAATTGCTATGCCGGAATATAAACCGTTAGCCCATGTGTTATTTTCAGTGGCATTAAATTCGGCGGAGACGATAAAATTATTTCGGTATTCCACAAGATTCTTCATAGAAGAATTCAGAAGAGCTGAAAGAAATAATATATAAAAAAAAACTATCATTCAGACAAATGTATTACCATGCTTGATACGAAATTAGATAATAATACAATTACCGCTTGTAACACTTATATCTGACGCTACACGCTCTGCTTCGCCATCCACATTCTGAACAATATTTCTATATTTCTGAGCAATTGGTTCGTTGTTTGATGAATATAAAGCTTTGGGATATCTGTACATATCAAGTTTTAATGGAACAATATTCGTGGAATCGGCTGGTAAACTATAACTTAAGGCCATTAGAAGCACCGAGAAAATGGGAAGAATCAGCTGAAAATATTAATGACATGTTAATAAAAGAAACTTTTCAATTTCAAAGTATTAAGAAGTACAAAGAATATCATCAAAGATATGTCTGATCTTTGTATTAGTGAAGCATATATTAAGGGGAGAAATACATACAATCGTCAGCAAGATAGGTAGATTCTTTCTCGTGTATGTAAATTTCTTGCAAAATAATGCTGATATTGATTGCATGCATAGTTTAATGCCTGTAACTTTCTGTAATGGTGCTGTAAATAATTCATTAAGATGTTTCCCACTATCTTCACTCCTCACAATCCTACAACCAATAATGAAGTAAGAAAATAATAATAAAATAATGACATAAAACATATTTCGACAAACATACTTTAAAAATACTTGTTCCAAAGTAATCAATGACACGCTTATTCCAGTAACGCCTAATTTTTTCTTTTCGCTTTCTACTTTGTCCAGTGATTGTGGTAAAGAATCAGTATATGGAACATTTAAAACGATCTTTTCACTATCAATACTAAGCTGTTGCGTTCTGGAGTCAAATTTACTTATGACTTTTTCGGGAACACACCAAGACTTTGTTGATAATGTAACTTCGATATGTCCATGACCTAAAACAGAAAAGTTAATTTACAAAACAATTATTTAAATTAAGGCAAACGTCCCAGTGACCGGACATGTATCTATATCTGAACATTTGCACAAAACATTTCTTTTTATACTATTATTAATCTCAAATGCTTTTTAAAAAAAATATCATATAAAATTTAATCTTTAAATACAATTAAATTATAATATTGTAATAAAAGAAAATATTTGAGAGATTAATAACAATAAATTTTGTGTATATGTCGAATGTAGGACAATGTCCAGTCACTGGGACGTTTATTACATTTTGTTTAAATATCAGTAAACATATTATCATACCATACTGTTTCTTCAAAAACATTGCAGTGCCATAACTTCTAAGACGACCGGCATGCATTATTGCGATTCTGTCACCAAGTATATCAGCTTCTTCCATATTATGTGTACTAATTAATATTGTTTTCTCTCCTATAAGTTTCTATATAAAAAAAATATTAATAATATAAAATATGTAACATAAAGTAATATATATGTATGCACAGCTTTAAAAATAATTGAATCAAAATTTTTTTGCTTACTAATATAAT